CTGTAAATGAGTGAAAACTGCAGAGTTCTGGCCATTAGATGTAGCTCGTCTGTGTTGGGACATTCTTTTGAACAGCCTTTAAAAGCCTGAATTTTGCCCTTAAACTCTCAGACTGAAGAAGTCTCTTGGAGGAGAGACGAAACGTTTCATTAGAGAAGAACCCGTCCAGAAGACCTATACAATTTTTTTTCTTTTTAATCCACTAAAAAGAAAAAAGCTAACCCGCTAACTTTGAAAACCGTTTGTGGACAAAATTTAGTTCCGCACCATATGACAGAATATTTAAATGAGACCTTGACTTAGTGGTTATCAGTTAGCGTTAGCTTCCACTAAATTTTAGTGTTTACAAACCTAATCTTTTAGACAGCAGGTTGCCGGTTATTGAAACCAACTTTTTGGTTTTGTCCACTGATGTTTAAGGGGGTGTTCAAATATTTAATTTTCCCATTCGTTTCTGAAATAAAAGGGCGTCCCGTGTCATTAGACTCACCCCACAGAAAGGATGAAGGTATGATGATGCTGATGTGTGTCCAACCTGACATAATCCCAGCCTTTTTAACTCCATACAGATTAATTTAACCAAGATATACTTTGTTCCTTTGTAATTTACTTTTTTTCATTACTTTGTGTTTGCTTGTAGTAATTCTTCATTTATATTTGGACTTCACAAAAAAAAGTTTGGGCAAAAGTTATGATTTGTAAATCCTTTCGCAGAAACAGTGAAGCTGTCGTCAGCCCCAACAACCAGGTACGTAAGAGGTTTTTTCACATTTTTAACACCTTTTATTCCTTCATGTTGTGCCTTTTTTTCCTAACTCTAGCATCCATTCTGACCCATGGAACAAAGACCAACAGAAAATATTYTTAAAATCAAAAAACCAAGTAAAAAAAAATGATGAAGAAAAGAAATACTAACATTTGCAGCTCTAAAAAGAAAGAAAACGAGTATTATTACCTTGAGTAGAAGCAGATGATTTGAGCTCTGTCTTCAGTAAGTTATCTCAGAAATGATTACAGCCCTTAAAGCTGCCATCTGCTCGTTGCATCAGTGCCGTTTATAACAAATACCATCAGGCTGTAGCTTTGGTTAGCTGTTAAACTGTCCCTCTTTGCATCTTTTACCATCTTCTCTATCTGTCAATCAAAAATTATTTCCTATTTTAGAACCTTTTACTTATTTACGCTTTTATTTTGTTTCAAGCTGCTTCCAACCCAGTCTGGCCTGAGATTCTTGTTAAATAACCAAAAAACAAAGCTTGTAAATTAGCTGACTCTCTCTGAAAGCTGATCATTAAWAATGTAAAAATAAAGAAAAATCTGTAAAAAAGGTTTTGATACCGCCCTCATGGGGGTCAATTACTTCCAGGGATGTTTCGAGGAGGATGCTGTCTCACAGGCATTTCTTTCGCAGCAACAAAAACAAACACTTTCTGACTGCTCATTAACTCAGATGTGGGTTTACAGTGTAACATGAAGACTTTTATTGCAAATAATACGGATTGGATAAAAGGGACTTGTTAATACCATATTGAAAATAATCAACATCCAGTACATTTTTTTTAAATAAGGAATACTAGCAGGATCTTAAGTGCTCAAACAAGCAACCAGCAGAAGTCCAGACTTTCACCACAATGTGCCACAACAATCATTATCATTAGAACCGAAGAGCAGTTTTTAGCAACATAGTCGGTTGAAAGAAATCACATACAAACACAGCCTGGTGATCTGTAGAGGGATGTATTTTCAGACCAGGTTTATAAACCAAAAGGTTTTGAAAAAAAAAAAAAAGTTGCGTCCATTCATAAAAAAAATGTGATATCTGTAAAATTGGCCACCTTTAAAAACACAGGTTAATTTTGAACATGCAGCACAACCATACGCTCTGCACATCGTCAAACACGCGAGTGTGTGAAAACTATGACTACACACTGGCTCTACAGATCAAAAGGTACCTATTTTTTTTCTCCAAATATACACACATTGATTCTGTTCTATAATACTGATATACTGGTTCACACCCTCTGTTTCAAAAAGTAGGTCATTTAATAGCAAACAATTTTTCAACATACCTAAATCAACAACAGTTATGGCATCTAAATGAACCTGACGACATTAGAAACTATGCCATACTGCTTCCTCATTCAAATAAATGTCACGTATTCAGTTTTACATGTTTCAAAGGTTGTGTTTATACATCGTTTTCATAAAGGAAGAGAATAAATATACGTCTGACCCATTTCCATTATAGTTTAACATTTAAACAATGGTGCAGAATTTATTGAAAAACAAGCTGAGAACTTCTTCAGGAAAAAAATAAAATAAAATGTTTAGCTTGAAAAACAAACCACCACATAAAATAATGACTGTTTGTGCTTTTTTTGTTGTTGTTTTTTTGTTCGAACTGCGATGGCTATTGTTCTATAGATTTGCAGTTGTAAGTTGAAAATACTCTGTGAACTCCAGAAGTTAGTCCCTTCTATTTCCAAAGACACAAGATTTGTGTCCGAAGCTTCTGATTTATTCGAAAATACCTATAAGAGATGTGAGTTTACTGAGTAGAGTGCCTTTTTTCAAGGACAAGTGATGCTTTATGAACATTCAGTTATCAGTCATGAGCTGAAACCTCATCGAGAGCTTCTGGAAGTGTCACTTTAAATAGAGGGAAATTTATGTAAATGGTACTATTAAGGCATTACAGTACAGTTTATCTGTTTACAACATGAATGGAGGGTATAGGAAGGTGAATATGCTGCCCTGACACACCTGGCTATAGAGGAAACTGGTTTTTAAACCTTGATATGGTTGATTACAGTCAGTGGTGGGAACAGCTAACCATTTTAAGTTTCAACTCTGTATCATTTGTAAACAACTCCAACACCTAACAGGCAGGTTAATATTAGAGTCTTTAGTAAAATATATTTTAGAGCTCATATCTCATCCACTGGCCAAATTTTCAAACTTTAGTTAATTCAAACATTGCGGGGAAAAAAAATAAGAGAATACCAGTTGTGGGCACAGCTAACCAAAAAATAGCTTTGCTTAACATCAATCTGCTGACTTAAAAATTAGCTTTGCCAACGCTAAACAGGTAAGAAAATCAGCGGAAGCTAACACTAACTGCTAACTCCACAAACAATTGAATCAGAAAATGCTAAAGATGCWACTCACATAAAAGACACATGGCATGAGCGTGAAGCTCTGTGTGTGGGGGATAGTTGTTTTTGTTTCTGACTCAAAGTTATTAGAACAAAACTTGTCAGAAGCTAACTGGTCTGCTAATGGTTTCTAAAGTTAGAACTAAATTTAGCAGAGGCTAACTGGTCTGCTAACAGTTCCCAAAGTCAGCAGAACTAAATTTCTGAGAAGAAAATTGGTCTGCTAATATTTTAAAATTAGCAGAACTAAACTTAGCAGAAGGTAATTGTTTGCTAATGGCTTCCAAAATTAGCAAAAATCTGCTAAACGAAAAGTTAGCTCAGCTATTATCYATTAGCGGATTAGCAGAACTGTGYCCACCACTGATTACATTCAACAAAAGTAAAGTATCCACTGATTTAACTCCACTGGACATGAATTCTACATGTGTTAAACTTGCTCCTAACCCCTGGTCGGACCGTAGAGACATGCAGTATGTAACCGCAGGGGAAACAATCAGTTTCTGCTCTGACGCCTACAGAGGCCATTTTGTTGCAAAGAGCTGCAAGACTTATTCATTTTCTTCCTACAAATATTTGTTCTGACATTCACATACATGGACTGAAAAAATKAAGATTTTAGTGKTTTTTTTTTCACAAGAAAAATGTAAACAAAAGGGCAGCGATGCTCCTCTGCAGTCATGGTTTGTAATAATGTTCTTGGCTGAATGAGAAAAGCTGGTCCCACGTTCAAACAGAAGCCTATTTAAAAAATAAAGAGATACATTAACGGTGTGTTTTGCTACGTTAGACGGCTGCCTGATCATAGGGGGTGATCATAGGGGGTGAGGCAGATGTGAAAACTGAAGGACCCATTTTCAGATATAACACTGTTCATCCATCTACTGATGTGCTGAAAAACACTGCCTTTTTTTGTTCTTTTGCTTATTTCCTCCTATTTTTCAGCATAACCTCATAATAAAAAATTATTGTTAGGAATCTAAATGTCTTTCTTTTTGCTAAACAGCCCCATAATACATTCAATACAACACTGATATGAACATTTGTTTGTACTTGGAGACTTGGCACAATTTGCTTTTTTTTAGCCATGTACAAAAAAATGGATGATAACGTTTTGCTCCAAACACCTCACAGGGAAAATATGCAAAAAAATAAACAAAAACAAACAAACAAACAAAAAAAAGAAAACTGAGTTTGGAGTTTCAGGGGTTGTTGATGTGATTTTAGGTGAAAAATAAACCGAGCACTAATTTACAATGTGGTTCATAAGAAAAGAAGAAAGAGGAAATAATATTAAAAAAACAAACATCATAGCTTTGAACATGACAGAAATTTCACCAAAAAGCAAAGGAAAAAAAAATTCCACCCGACACAAAGTCTAGTTGATTATTTCCCCACCTCAGCTTTCCAACAAACTGTACCAAGACCAGATTTCAGCCATCAGCAATGTCCAAAAAGGTTTGATAAATGCTCTCGACAGTCATTGTGTCAGCCTCTGCTAGTACACGCTGATGAAGGAGGAGAGCGCCAGGACCAGGTACCGGCAGGCCAGCGGGATGTGCGCGCTTCCCGGGCTCCCATAGGGTGCAGTGTTTTGCGCTGTGGGCAGGAAAACAAGACAAGCTCTGATTAGTTGTGATTGCGCTTTTCATCCTGCCGCACCTACTAGTTTCCAAATCCGCAGTCGGCTTGGCGTGAAGCTCACAAATGAGACGGCGAGAACGGCAATTACTGAAGCGCCGCCGCTGATTGGAGCTGGTTTTGGGGGGAAAAAAAGGGGGAAATGTTACAGAGACTGGTTGCTGGGGGGACTCTGAAGCCTTTACCTAAAAAAAAGGTAACAATATTACAACATGAGGTGGAACTTATTACAGAACACAACATTAAAAGACTCTTAACACGCGTGCTTTTTATGTGCAAACAGTAATTTAATGTGTCACTTAGCTAATCCTAGAATTCTGTCTTTCTGGCATGTTTAAAACAGTAAAAACACAAAAACAGTCCTCAAAGTCTGTCAGCAAAAAGGTTTTTTGTCTTTAAACACCAGTTAATTTAACCATGAACTGTTTGACACAAGTTAATTGTTTTATTCAGCAGATTAAAAAAACTTTAATCCACTGGTCTGATCTTTAACAGTGCAATGTTTTACTTAATGCAGGTCACTAATATGATTATACATTCTTATTAAATATGACTGAAGCACCACTCAGACTCCCTCGGGCGTTTTTAGCTGAGGTTTGACTGACAGCTTTGTTCACAGGCCGGGACAAACCATCCAGTTATTATTCTTAGAGTCCAAAACAGGCTGACGTCTTAGCATGTCCTCTTTAATCAGTACACATGTTGATGTGTCAACGGCTTCATTTCATTTTAGGTGTTTAACACATTACAGAAAAGAATCTCTGATGAAGTTTGGCTTTAAAATCTTATCCACAAAAAAGATGCTAGTTTGTGTTTGCAGTGAATGTTGGCTTAAAACTGACAGCCTGTTCCAGCAGCAAACAGACCTGCTGCTGGGTCTTTAAAGGTAAGAACATTATCCACAGTACATCTCCTTAACTTTAGATTTTCTCTTACTTGCTGTTTGATTTATTGAAACTCAGTTTTTTTTGTGCTCCAACTCAAATTAAACAGTTAAATCCAACTAATTAAAAAGCACCATTCAAATAGTAGAAAATCAATTAAATAATCAGAACTAACGTATGAGGTAATGTCATCCATCCATCCATCCATCCATCCATCCATCCATCCATCCATCCATCCATCCATCCATCCATCCATCCATCCATCCATCGTTACCTCAGACTAGTCAGACATTATTTGATAAACCAAAACAGTTAAAATACTGTAGGCTGTGTAGTAAAAAAACAAAACAAAAACACATTGTCATAAGGAAATTGCCAAGTGGTTTACACTGCAAAGAATTCTGGGTAAATGATGACGCTTACTGGCTGCTCCATTGTGTGATCAATCGTGATCAAAAATGTCTGATGTTCGGCTCTTTTAAATGAAACTGCAGAGCGTTGACAGAGAGGAGAAGGTAGAAATGACTCAGCCTGGAACTAAACATGATGGAGGACAACAGAGCTGCTTCATGGAAGAAGAACCTCAGCTTTAGTCTTTTAGCTCCAGAGCTAACATTTATGGCCATACATTGCCAACTAACTGGTGTTCTTGCAGAGTAACTATCTGATGGTAACTAAAAGAAGTGTAAACTTTTATAAAGTTGGGTTTACTTGAACCGCTATAAAATATTTGGTTTTACAGTATATCAGTTTTGCATCGAAGAGTTAATCTCACTACTCAACATGCTTGTGTTTTATGTATAATGAGCTGTGAATAATGTGGCCTTTAGTGTAAAAGTGTGGCATTGCATGTTTTATTTTCACCATTATAGAAAGAAACTGTCTTTGATTAGCAGTTAACTCGACTGCCACATGAGAAGTTCCCCTTAAACCCCCAAACTGATAGCTGTCTGCTGGAGGTAAGATAGTGACCGCTAAAATTACTTCACATTATCCTACTTTAAACTATAAAAATGTGCAGCAGGTAGGCTTAYTAGCATTTATGAATATATCTAGTTCGATTTGTAAGAATTTAAAAGAAGATATCTTATAATAACAAGCAGCAGATGCCGTGCTGCTCCTACATACAGGAAGTGAAAATGTTGCATTTAGATTTAACCAGATTTGAAATATAATTGGCAGCAGTAATTGAAAACGTGTCAGAAAGCCTTTCCTTACATCTCATCTGTTCTCTGCTGTGAGTTGAACACTTACTCGGCTGTCAAACAGATCGACAGAAAAGAAGAAAGGAGAATAAACGAAGGGCTACAGAAGTTGTTGTTTCTCACGCTGCTTTGGAGTGAGGCTTTGTTTTGTGCTGTCTGTGTTTCAGCCACAGTAATATGAACAGGTCCCTCTGGGGGGCGGGGGGCTGGTGTTCGGTGGACGGAGAAGTGGAGGGCAGCCTTTCATTTGTAGAGGCCCGCTCTGCTTTAGCCTGTGGCTCAATAAAGCAGGAAACATCCAGTCCATCAGCGCACACATCCAGTCCACCTGTGTGTATGGGTCACATGCATGCTGGCACACGGAGCACAGCGAGGCGGCGCAAACAGCCTCGCTGTGCTCCACCAGGGGAAATCATGTGGCGAACAGCCCATATCAGCAGGGCGCCTCTATTTACGCTGCCATGTAATTAGTTTGCAATGTACAGTAAGTCCTCTGAAGTGGACCTCGTGTTGCACAAACGGCCCAACAAACTGGTAACGCTGGCCGCCCGAGCAGTTCTGGACGAACAAAGTTCTTTTCTTTGTGTTTCTACGATTAGAAATGACTCACGGTTGAATCCCTTTTATGAGATCGTTATCGCAATGAAACGCTGTGTTTATTTAAGCTGGAGTTAGAGGTGGGAAATGTCTGCTGGTGTTCAGAATAAACAAAACAATTTATGGATTGATTTTTGTCAYCGATGCAATAAGCTAGTGGGAAACAATATTTAGAGCAAATGCCATAAATACACGGGAAAAAACAAACAAAAAAAMCCCACCTTTTTCACCTGAAATAGCTCTGCTTTTCTGTGACATTTTCAAGCATTGTTTGTCAGCACTAATGTTGTTTACCTTTCAGATYGAAAACTACAGCTCGGTCGACAGGCTGGAATTAAAAATAAAAAAATAAAAACGGGAGCAGATTCCGAGGATGGAGCCGGAGAGTCTCCTCCTCTCCTCGTCTCTTTTGTCTCCCCTCTAGCTCGCCCTCTCTCTTTGTATCGCTCCTCTCTCCTCCTCCTGTCCAGAGTACAGGATAATGACACAGTTTTCCCGGGCTGCGAGAGCGAGCGAGCCGAGAGCACGGTAGCCATGGCAACAGCTYCCGTCCTGCTCAGCCCGGCCCCGCTGTTGTTCGAGCTCGAGTGCGTCGCGTTGCGCTAGCCGCGTCSGGACAAACCTTCGTTTGTAAGTGAGGTTAGGTCGCTTTATTTTAATYTGTCTTTGATCGGGTMACCTGAYCATCACAGTAAACTGCGGTGATCTCGTCTCGTCGCAGCTGCTTCTCATGCAGAAGCTCCTGAAGTGATTACTCCCTCTCTGCTTTGCTTTATGACGACAGGCCTGGAGAGAGGAACAATAAGCCCTCAGTGCTCCGGGAGAGGGAAGTGTTGAGAGTCAGCCTCCGCAGAGCAGTTAAGTTTAGAGCTGTTTAATATCTCCGGGTGTCACTGCAAAAAACTAACAACAACACACACGCACAAAAAAAAGCAAGGGTCTCTATTGTTTTGATTGTGTGGGTTTGCAGCTTGCCATTTTAATTAACTCCCCAACCAGGAACTGCCGGCAACCCTCTAAACTCTGCTCATTAACATGAAGGGAATATAAGGAAGAAAAGAGGATGAAGAAAAAAGAAAAAAAACAGGACATTGATTGAAAGGAACGCATGAGCGACACTGAAGAGACAAAAGCACAAGGACTGGGGTAGCTGTGCCTTTTTTGGAGGGAGGGGGTGGTTTGAATTTAATTACGATGCACATCAGCAGCACGTTATGGCGACACGTCGGAATCCCACACAATACATCAGCAGCAGTGTGTCGACATGCAGAAACGCTGGGAAGACGAGCCGCGCTCCAGAGGGAGAGGAGATAAGTGCAGATGAAAGCGATATGCTTCAATTACTGTTTTGCAACAAAAATGAAAAAAAAAAAAAAGGCTAAAAACTAAAGCCTCCCCAGCAGCAGTCAGAGTCATTTGAAAAACAACAATTCCTGGATCTCTGCTCTGATTTGGGAGAGGAGCCATTAGCTTTAAATAGCCTGCTGAAAGTGTGAGCTTGTTTCCTTCCTCCTTTTCTTCCCAAATCTCCAGCGACAGCAGTTCCGTCACCCACACATCATACGTACAACAAACACGCAGGCCCTGAACCTCAGTCACTGCTGACAAACAGAATGAATCAAACTGAGACGTCTGACTAACTGAAGGCAGGCTTTATGTGTCTTACCTTCTTGTCCTCCGTTTAGCACTTGATGCATCACAGCTGTTTCATTAAACATGTGTTTTTATTCATGACGCACTTTGTTTTTAAAACACGGAGCTCTGCTGACTGACTAATTCTCGTTTTGACTCTTACACAACACAATTTACAAATGTATTTTATTTTATGTTTTTGAGACGTAAACTGTTTGGTTATGCCTGACTGGCCACTAATAATATGGTTGAACTCATATTTCAGGGATACTCAACTGGTGGCCCGCAGGACGGACGTGGCCTGCAAGTGACCTCAGTCCGCCTGCCGATGTGTTCTTCAAAAAAGCAAATTTTTTTTCCATTTTAAAATTATGGTTCTAAGAAGGGGGAGTTTGCATGTTAGATGTGAATAGCTGCTTGTCTCTGTGTGTCCCTGTGATGGATTTGTGACCTGTCCAGGGTGTCCCCCACCCCTCGCATTGTGACTTCTGCGAATGGACACCAGTGACCCCCGGTGACCCTGAAACTAAGAAGCGTGTATAGACAATGGATGGATTTAAATCAGAAAAAAAACTACGAAGGTAACAGATACTAATACTTGTTCTTTTACATAATGCGGTGTTTCCTACCATTACCAGGCAGTGCRCCTGGAAACCCCACCCCCTTAGAGTCTTTTATATACTTAGCATAAAATATAAAGTAATGTGTGTTTGATAGTTTCTTTATTGTAACAATGCTTCTTAGTAATAAAACTTATTCCATTGGAAAGCTTGTTAAATTCCATTTTAAATGCTGCCACATTTGTAAGGAACATGCATTGATGGGATGAGCAGTGGAGCTGAGTATGTGGGTTGTGCATATGAAAAATGTGTCAACTCCTCTAACAAACAGCTTATTTTTCTGTTACTATTGACTCTTTTGACTGATTGTTTTGAGCTTTTGCTACCCCCAGGTGTTGCCAATCAGGTGCCTGGTATAGGATTTATTGCCAAGAAACATTGTTACAATAAAAAAACAATCTACCAAACACAAATTTCCTTGCTTTTTGTGCTAAGTTTTTATGATTCTCTGATTGGGTGTTRTTAGATTTCCTTTGCTTTTAACTTCATTTATTTGTGTTTCTGTAGATGATACGTCCCTTGAGTTGCTTGTACCATGTTAGCGCCACACTGACGGCAGCCTGCCAGGCATCATCCCAATCCCCCATGGAAGCAGCTTCACAGAGGCTTCCTGTGTGGGGGGAGGGAGGAGTTCAGCGTCCTTGACCATCAATCAGTGGCCTCTGGTCCTCCCCTCACAGCTCCCCAGAGACRGCCCACAGGAGACACTCCTGAGCCAGAACTGATCCGGCACACACCACGCTGTAAATCGGACTAAATCCCTCCACAGGCAGCCGCCAAGAGTGTTCATAACAGAGCGGCAAACGCTAAAACGTGGTCTTTACTAGTCGCGGCGCTGGAGTTTGATGAAGAGTTKAAACGTAGCCTCATGTGATGCATCGTGACAGATGATGAAGGGCTGCCACGTTTCAACMGAATGTGCCACGCTTCATTATCTTTTAAGCACTTAAACACGCTCCGTGCGAGCACTTCATAGAGCGCCATCAAGACATTTTCCATGCCTTCGCTCACCTCGGCCCGATGACAGTGAAATACAGCCGCCGCCTTCCCCATTCATCTTGCTGCGTCTTTGCCCGTAGCGAGCTGCCATATTAAGTTGGTGCACAATTGACTCAGCCAACCCATCAGCTCCTTCATCCGTTTTCTTTTCTCCGTCCCTTCTGCTCCTGTACAAGCAAAGTGTTCATCACGAGCAAYGATATGACGCTCAGACTCATCACCTGTGTCTCCTGCTACGAGCCCTGATCCACTCTCACCTTCGAGCTCATTAGCCCCACCAATCATTTGCATTAGTGTTAGTAATGAAAAGCTCCCATTAATAAGATGGCCTTCAGAGATCGTTTATTCCTCGTCTGCCTGCCGGCGCTGCAGCATCCTCTCAAAGCCCCGGTACCTGTTGGTTATCGACACCCTGCAGAATGCTTTTCGGGGCCGGCTCTAATGGCGCCTCTCAGCATCTGAAAGGAGAGTGAATGAGCAAGAGACCGGTCACCTGATAGCTGCCCGAGTGAGCTGGGCTCCGGCCTTCAGCTTGACTTAATCAACACCTCTGTGGGGTATCTGGACACTTCAGCGCAGAGGGAGATGGAGGAAGGAATCCCAACAGAGGAGACATTTCCCCTCTTTCTCTGTCGTTACTGTTCCTTTTCTGAACTGACTGACTTTTCCCTCAAACTGCACCGCTTCCCCTTTTATCCAAACATCAATGCATGTTTACCACACCTATCAATTCAAGGACATGCTTTATGCAGGAAATCAACGACCTTCTGAGTGATGCATTTACATTTTTAAACTCTTCTATGCTTTTTTTCTCTTTTTTACCCATGTAGAGGATAAATTGACATCAGCATATTTTAGGACTAAACAAAATAAAGCAGCACAGTGTGGATTGAGAGTGGTTTTAATCATGGCATTCAAAAAAAAAAAAACACAAAAAGCATAATTACTTTGTGACTTTCGCCGCTCCCGCTAAAATCTCTTTAATGTTGGAGGCTTAATAAAAATGCACAGGGACACAAACAAGTGGCGTCAGCATGTTGGAAGTTCTGGCAGACCCTGTTTCTTCCCCTTCTCTCCTCACTCTCTGTGTAATAATCTCTCTTTCATATTTAGGTCTCTCACACCCACTCGCTCTAATAATTCCCTGTGCCCCCATTTCTTCCTCGCTCTTTTTTTCCTTCTTTTTTTAATGCTTATCAGGGGTTTTATTTTCTGTGCAAGTCCTGCTTCGAGCACTGAGGGTTGTGCTGAGTCAGGGGGAGGCTGTCGAGCTGCTGCACCCCCCCCCMCCCCCCACACACACACACACCACGATGATGGCGACAATCTGTCCCGTTATGAAGAAAGGCTTTAATGTCGATGAGAAACTGCAGCCCGATAACATCTGATCCCCGACAAAAGAGGTGACTTTTTTTCTTCCTGTCTGCCATGTTCCACTCATCTCCTTCACCTGAAGTCTTTTAAAACTGCAATTCCCAACTGTTATGTATATGGGATTATGATAAGRCAGCTCTTTTTTTTCTTTTTATCAATTTCCATCATGGTGCTGACACCACAGCAGCGCAGAATGTGGAGGGTTAAGTGTATTTTCTCTCTGATGGATAAAAGATAACTCTATCTCTGCAGTCTGCCTGGTTATCACAGTTCACCTGAGGCAAGTCGGACCTGATTGGAATTTGCTCCCGCTGAGCATCTCTGCACCGGCCCGGGAGTCGCAGCCACAGTTTGCTCCGACGGTTGCACTGTACGCAGCTAAATCCATACTTCTTCCTTCATATTTACCTTCCCTGAGCTGTTAATTGATTTTACCCCCCCTCTCCCAGATCAATTCAGCGGTTTACAGAAATCGTCGGACCAAAAGAAAAAAAAAAGAAGTGTCATCGATTGCAGAGTGATTAGCATGTGAAGTGGATTACTCTGAGGCTGAGGAGCCCTGCCATATGCTTACGTTAATTATCGCAAACTCAAAAGTCTGCTTTTTGGGTGGTGCACGCCCACGGGCTGTTTCGGTGTCACGCATGAAATATTTCTTTATTTTGCCGAGATATAACCGGAGGCAGCGAACGCACAGCGGTCTCCTTGTTGTGGACTGCCTGCGGGAGGTTCAGATGAAAAGCTATAGTGTCCTGAAGTGATCGCCATTGATCTGGATGGGTATTTTACACACACTACCAAACTCGGTGTGATATCTTTATCTGTGAATACTTTCCTTTTTTTTAAAGTTGCACCCTGTTATTGAGCGAGTGGTTAATAAATCAGAAATAGGTGTGACTTTAACACATCAGCTTTCAGGATAGGGAACTAAATAAAACAAAACAAGAGAGCCATAAAGCCAACAATATGACCCTCCTGACATGAAGCACAAAGGAATGAGAGTGAATTCTTTTTTTACTCTGAAACTAGTGAACTAATTGTAGGGCTGATAATTAATTTTTAATAGCTCCGTCTGTTGTGCTGGGAGTGGGCTGCACTAAAACGTCTAAAAACGTAGTCAATGTCAGCTGGAGTTAATTTGGCTACTGTACTTTAGACAGAAACAGAGAGGAGGATTGACATGTCACAGTGATGTTTCAAATACACTATAGTTTGACATTAGTTTGTGCTTTTACACACAATGACAACRCATTTATTTTTCTTGCCTGACTACAGAAACAGCACAAAGTAGGACACGGTCACAATTTGGTTTTAAATGAAACCTGGCTCCTTGATTCAGCACCTCAGCCAGACAAGCCAACACTCCTTTGAGCAGACAGAAAAGTAGACATGTCTGCTGCAGAACCTGAAAGTCCCAGATCCGAGGCTCATCTCTCAACTATTTGAAGAACACGCACCAACAGTACATCTGGGGGTGGGGGTGTATGTGTCAGGGTGTTTACTCCCATCCCGTTCCCCGACTGCTATTTGGGGAGGGGGTCCTGAAGAAGGGCGGGCCACTGGGTGCGGTCCTGGGCTGTGGGTGGGCTCGGGGCTTGGACGGTTGCCGGGGGCGGGGCTGGCTCTCCATCCTCCCTGGTGCTGCTTGGTCTCCTGAGGTGTGGCTCTTGGTTCCTGTGGGTGGCCCCCTGGCCGGGGTGGGTGCACTTGGTCGTTGGCGGTGTGGTGGGGTGGTCATGGGCGTGGCTTCTCTGCGGGGGCTCTGGGGGGCTGGCCAGGCGTCCTGGTGCGGCCCGGGCCGGGCCTTGGCTACCTGCTCCTCTCCACCTCAGAATGATTGGGTCTACCTCCTGGGTTCGGGTGTGTGCGGCCTCCATTAGGGGGTGGGCGCGTGTCCTGGACCTGGGGGGTATAGAGTGTGTATCGGGGGTATGAGTGGAATGTGGCGTCTTTGTATGTCTTTGATTGAGTGGGGGTGAGGATGAGGGTGGGATGGTGCGATTGTGTATGTTTGGGTATTTGTCAGGCTGCGGTCTGGGCTGCCCCTCCTGCTGGTTTATCTGGGGGCCCGCTGCTACTCGGCCCCCCGGTGGGGTGTGCGGCTGGTCGCCGGTGTGCTGGGGGTTCCCGGGGTCTGGGGCTGGGCGCTGGGGTGTGTGCCAGCCTTGCCTGCTGGGGCTCGGGGCCTCTGGCCCTGTCGGGCTTTGGCCTGGGCTTTGGGTTGCGCCCTGGGGGCCCAGACCTCTGTGCCCTTTCCTGGATCTGCTCTGGTATGACGGGTGCCGGTGGGGCCCATGAGTTTGTCGCTGCTGGCCCCGGGGGCTGTGCGTGTGGTCGCTGGGGGGACTCTCCCAGTTCTCCTCTATGGTCTGATCTGGGGGGTGGGTGGGCGGATCTTCCCGTGCGGGTGCCCCTTGGGGCTCTGCGCTTGGGATCCCTTTCGGGCCCTTGGGCTCTGGTCTTCCCTATGTCTGCCTCGTGTCTTGGGGGTTGAGTCTCGGTCCTCAACAGTCACTATTAAATATTCCATTGGAGAAATCTTGTATATACACRCATGTTCACAACTGCTCACAAACAGGTGCTCTGATCCGGGGGATTCTGACTGGTCACTGAGTGTGTATATATGTCTGTGTGTATATACTGACAATATTTATGAATGTAGGCATGTATGTATGTATATCTTTATATATGTATGGGTATGTGTATATTTTTATATATGCCCTCCATGTATTTATCCATTTATTTTTCAGGTGAGCGGACAGATGTTGGGTGTGTGGTCCTGTGTTTTGATGGTGTATATTTAATATACTTCTAATCGCTATTTCAATCTTTCYATCTTTCTAATTACTTCTCTCTCTGTTTTTCTCTCTTTCTCTATTTTCTCTTCACTTAAAAATGTCACTGATGATGAAGAAATAAATAAACGAATAATATTTACTTTCGTTTTCTACTGAAGTGACAAAAAAAAAACAGTTTGAAGGTGAAGGCAGCGGTGAGGAAACGTCTCACTTCAGCACTGATCATAGCTAGAAGCAAGTACAGGAGAGACACAGATACTGTGGATGAAGGCTGGTGTAAACACATCGGAGGTCACAGGTCAGCTCACAGAAACATGTCAACACCTGGGTCTTAGAAGATGTGATGACTACTGATCTACTTCAGTTGTTTGATCTCCTGACATGTGTAAAAATTAGGCTGGACTGAACGAAAACAATGAGAACAGCTTAAATCCTTAGACAATAAGGTTATTAAAGTTTACATTTAGGCTTTCAAATTTTGATTCACTCATTCATTTTGATATAAAAAAGGTTGTGGCGTTTTTAACAGTTAAACCCGATGGTGACTACAGCATTTCCAAAGTATTTAGTGATATAAAATTCATCCATAATTTTCATAAAGGTTAGAAATTACAGATGGTGGGCAAGGCTAACCACAAAAATTGTAATGCTAACTCCAATCTGCCAATTAAAAATATAAACCACAAAATATGCAAATGCTAAACCGATGAACATGTAAAAAGTTGGGGGAAACTAATTCTAAGCAACTAAACAAGTAAAAAATTAGTGGAAGCTAACAATTACAGCTTATCGCTAATGGCTAAGATGACGGTCTGCGTCACAAGTCTTCRTCTTTGAGCTGAAGACTGGTGGGACTGACAAAAACCTGTTCATGTTACTGTGGTAGTTAGCCGTTAGCGGACATAAAGTTGGCAAAACATAATTTAGTGGAAGCCAATTGGWCCGTTAATGACTTTCAAAGTTTGTGAGAAAAGCTAATCTGCTAAAAAAAAACAATTTCACTATTATCTTTAGCTGATTAGTAGAACCACTGATAAATACTATATTAATCTGTAACAATCGTCTCTGTTTATAGGCTCTTTAAGCTCAACATGAAGTCACTAAAACACTACTTTCAAATAAACGTAGAATCACAATATTTGACAGTGCAGTAGAAGAATTTTGGAGGATTTTACTAAAACTACTACTACTAAAGTGTGCTGCACACAAAAGCAGCCATTTTCTTTGACCATGCAGGCAACAGAGGTCAAGAATGATTCTGATTCTTCAGGAACAATCAGAACTACTCAACAGTGCAGAAGTTGGGGTTGACAGAAATACTGACAAATGAAAATAAAAACATTGATGTACAGATTGCTGTGTGCGATCTGTACATCAATTGACGGTGAACACTCTAAAGCGTTTGGGTTGTATGAATAAGAGGCAGATAATATCTAAAAATGTGAGAGATCCCTCAAAAAGCCTTAACCYTTATCTCCTCCTTCACAAACATCCTCTTCTCCAAATCCACTTTAGCCTTTTCTCAGTGGGCTTTATCTTCTCTGCCACATTGACACTATCAATGTGCAACTTTTATAGCTGCATAAATACCAGAAGGGATGATGATGACACATGCTCTTTCCCTTTGATGTGGGATTGTGGGACTACACATGGTGCGAGCAGCTTCCACGTCTGCAAGGATCACTCTCGCCGCATTTTGTGTTTCTGTTTTTTTTTCACAYGAGGTCAAACATTATTGACTGGAATCACAGAGGGGAATGAGTCTGCGTTTACTGACAAATTGGACCCGAGGATTGACCCCCCTGGTTCAACTTAGCTTAGACTCCAGGAGCTGCAAATATCAATCCATCTGGTAACAAAAAAAATAAAAAAAACATACAAATCTCTGCCGGTCACCTGAAGTAGAGCAGATGGGTTTTCATTTTACATCCAGTATTCATTATCAAGTTAACTTTCTGCTCTCATTTCAGCAAATGTGAGTGTGGGAAATGTCACTTTAATTATACAACATTCATAACATTAAAAGCAATTACAGCAGAATGTAAAGGGTCACAAAGTAGCAACATAAAAGGGACTAATGTCATGTGTCTGGAAAATAATGACCAAAGTTCCTGCAGCAGTTAAAAATGCTGTTTATTGGTTAGTAAGCCTTAGAATCCAATTAGAGAGTCTCTACAGTATCACAGCTAATTTGTGCAAGTATATTGTGTGAGGAAGCAAGTGAGTCTAGATTAATTGAATCTGCACTTTTCCATCTATCATTGTTTAAAGCACTGTTTCCTACAAGTACCTGTAGTTTATGGAAACAAAACATACTGGAAATATTTTAATCAGCCCTTTAGTACGGTGTCAAAACACTACTGTGGCTTTGTTAAAAGCAGAAAGACTGCATCGAGAAACAATTAGTTTCAGCATGCGGTTTGTATGATTTATGTCTCGCTTCATTCCTGCAACTTTCTGCTTCTTTAAAACCAAAGTTTACAGATAACTTCAAGTTAGGGACATCACAGTTTAAAGGTGGGTCCTTGGGTGTGGGTGGAGTTTGGGACAGAGATGTATAAAGTACTTGAAAAAAAAAAAAAAACAAGTCAAAATAAAAATACCATAAGAGAAAATGACTGGTAAAAATGATTTTCACTTTTAAGAAAAGTATTTAAGTAAAAGTCATAAAACTGCTCACAATAAGAGGAAAAGTAAAAGTTGAGAAAATTGCTTTACATTTACTCAACAACTCCTTTCATAATGAGTTCTGGTCATATTTAAATTTGTAACATGAGAGGTAAAAAGAGGTAAAACTATAAGTTTTACATTTTTAATGTAACAAAATAAAAGTTACAATTTCAAGATAAAACGGTAAAATTACAGATCCTCAAAAACTACTTAAGTACTGTAATCAAGTAAACTTACTTTGTCATCATACACCTCTGGTTTGGGAAAACGGTGATTGGCCTGATTTAATATTTTGGGCGGACTTCCTCCTCGATCTGCCTCCCCCCACTCCTCTGCTCCATCTTTTCCAAAAATTAAAATGGAAAAGATTAAGGTAAGTAAACTTTTCACCTCAACCTTACATATTAATAAATGTTTGTAAGCATGTTTTTTTTATACCTGGAGGACATCACATCTAATAAGACACAATGTTTTGCAAAATGAACCTACTCTTTTGACACTTTGTTGTTTCTCAGCGCATCTTTTTGCCCCTTGCTGGGTCACCTCCCATACCTGACAATACTATTACTTAACTTCTGCGTCAACACCACAAATTACCATTTGGATCATGAATGGTTAGTTCAACCTTTTATTATTAATTCAAATATAATTTAAAGAGGCATCAAGAGAGATCACTTGCCTCATGTAATTTCCATCATCCAGATACTTGAACTCAACAGAGTAGGACCTGCCTCATGCTGGACTCAATCTCAGGTACTTTTAAGCAACACAGAATAAGGACAAATATAGTTTAACAAAAACAAATTTTATGAACTCCTCCCAAAAACATCTAATAGACTAATCATGTCTTTCTCAAACTCCTCCCACATACAGGAATCTCCCACTTAATGACTGTAGAGACCCCCTTCTCAAATCCAATACTTTTTTTGTGGAAATAATATCACTAATGATTTCTATAATAATTTACAAAAGAGTGAAAAGACATAAATCTCTTAATTTAATTTCACATCCTTCGACTGACTGTGGCACATCCATGGAGTCTGACTGCTTTGATAAGATGCTATCTTGTAAATGGGCTCACATTCGTGTCGTAAATATTTTCATCTTGTAAATTAGACTCTGGTTCTGCATGTGCAGTGAAATCCAGCACTCCACATTCTGTCTCAGCACTTACACCTTATTGTGACAATTCAATCTGAACTCAAACTTAATCAGAAAACAGTTTTGTTGCATTCAAACAAAGATTTGACAGCTGACTTCACCCACAGGATCTCTGACAGGGCCGGCTCTAACCAATCTGGCGCCCTAGGCAACAGTTTAGGTGACACCCTTGGTGCACTTTTCTAAACTTCACAGATTTACATACATTTACAAACAAAATGAAATCAATTAGCTTGGTCTTTTAATCTTTTAGTCCTGGTGGGGTCCGTGGGCATGGCCCCCCTGGAATTTATTTTGGAACATCTTCTTAAAACTATGCCTTTTCCAGCCATTTAAGGTCACTTTACTGAATTCTTAAAATTTATACAACATAAAATCAGTACATTATAAAGGCAGATTAATGAAAATCAGTCTTTAAGCTGAACCTTATTTAAAATAATACTTAAAAACTGCATTTTTTAACACACTGAGCTACATGAATTTCTTTTGACTGCACCATATGATACTTTGATCACAAAATATCCTCTGCACCATAAAACACCTCATATAGTAACAAAATGGGCTGAGAAAACCATGTTTGCACATACTGCCTAAGCCATGTACTGGCCCTGTTCTCTGATGTATACTGTATATCTGTATATTTTTTAAATTCAGCCCTTGTTTTCCATTTTAACGAGTTAATTTAGCTCCATAAATCCATCTTTCATTTGGGAAAAGGGCAAGTGGCTGATACTGATCATACATGTACCCACCTCTTGATCAAATATTTATCTGACAGAATAAATTAGGCCCCTTGCCCAGATATGATCAAAAAACTGTACCACAGGTCCAAGTTCAAACTGTATGAGATAAGCTTGAATTATTAATCTTATGGTAGAAATGGGAAAATATGACACCTGATCCTGAGGATATGAACCACAATGAGCTACAACGTTTAAATTATTAATTATGTAAATTGCTAATGCAGCATTAGCATGTTTGAAAATACAGTAAGATAATATGAGGATATTGATGTGAGTGAGTGGATGTTTTACTGTTGCCTGATCTTATTCTACCTGCTTAGAGCTGATTAGTAAGAAACTGCAGAAGTTAGTTTTATGTACATTATAACTACAGATTAATTCTGATTATTGATCCGATCTGTGTTTATTTTAGTTGATAAAAGTAATTGCTGTTTTTGTACAGAAATCAGGACTGATCTTCAAAACGCATTTGAATGGATGATCAGACTACATTCTTTGACTGTTCATTGTTTGTGTTTTTCCTCTACTTGGGCTCCAAATAAATTAACGATTCCTCTGATTTGTGCAAAAGAAAGGATTTTCCACTCATCTCAAAACCCTCAATCATCTAAATGTCAACAACAACCAAAAAAGCAAATAAAACACTAATGGCAACATACAGGCAGCCTGGAAGTGGAGTATATTTCTCTCATTCTGGTCTGTGCTGGTAAAAAAAGAGTCTACTTCCAGTCATTCTTTGCAGCTTGCCGTTCTGATGCAGATCTGCGGTGGAAGGCCCGCTGGGAGCCACCCACCACTACGATCATCTCTGCATGTTGGATGGCATTAGGAAAAAACAAAAACAAAAAAATAAAAAGAGCAAAATGGTCTAATCTGACYGCCTCCTTTTAAAAACTGCTCCGACAAAAAGCGTCTGGGACTCCTCGGTGCTAATTGACAACGTCAGTGCTGAGAAGACTCAGTCTTGCTCATCTAATTGATAGTTTAGGACATGTTACAGGAATACATCGTTGGGGGTGGGTTTTGGATTAGAAAAGGGTCGTTCATCACTTCTGAGGCTGTAACAGCCTTGATGAACRAAATTATTTTACCATCTCTCAGCACTTTGACTGACCTTTATTCATTGTTAGCAAATGTAAAGAGGGTGGAACCTTGTCAAAGCCTTGAATAACTCATCATCTGAAGAACCAAGGGAATACTAAAGAGGTCCTATTCAGTGCCCTTTGAGGCTTCATTTTAAACTAGAAGAATTTCAATTTTTCTGAGAAGAACTGAGGAGGAGAATGTGCGAAGTTGAGATAGCAGTGAGCACAGGGTGCATAAAAAGTGTTTGTGCATGCTTGGAATTAGCTTCAGTGTGTGTGTGTGTGTGTGTGTGTGTGTGTGTGTGTGTGTGTGTGTGTGTGTGTGTGTGTGCATACACCCCCCACTGCTGCACCTCCCCATGCACACCAAATCAAAGGGTATTCCAGTGCTTATGCATGTGTGCTTACATGTGTGACTAAGGCTGCTTTGCACTCTTTATTGGTCGTAATAAAGAGTGACACGACTCCAACCTGCACACGGGGCTTTTAGTATTGGCAGAGGAGGACCAGTCTTTAGAGATGCAGGGAGCGCCAAAAGGCTTGGAAATGGAGCCAAATAGAACTAACCTTATTTAACGGGCAGACATCTGAGTCATTTCCCCAAAGAGAATGCCATTTCTGAATGTCATGACCTTTTCTAACCGTGTTTAAAACCCTCCAAGGTCGTTAAGGTGTGGTTTGTCAATAAAACAAATTTGACGACTCCTGAGGAATGGTAAGCAGAGGGAAGGGGGACACATACGCTCAGCTTTTAATGTACATACTGTCAGGTATTGTTGGGTTGATTGGGGTAGTTTTCCTCAGGCTTGTGACAGTGAATGAAGCCTGGGGTTTGTGTGTGTGAGTGCATGTTGAACTTTAAAGCAGGCACCAGTGGTGGGCACAGCTGACCAAAATGTTAGCTTCGCTAACCGCCAACTCGCTACACAAAGCACATGATGCAGGTGTGCAGTGCTGCATGTGTGTAAAGGAAGAGATGTTTTTGACTTAAGTTTAGCAAAAATACAGTAAGCTAACTGTGATTTCCACTCAGTCTTTTTTTTAGAACTCTAGTCATGTGACTACGCTCGCTCAACACTGGTGCACGTACAAACTCTGGTAGCAGCKTCACTGGTTTCAATCACAGTGCACCAGTTTAACTGTGTTTAAACTTGAAGACATGAAACTCCACCAGGAGGACCACAAAACTGTGCTACATTTCTTGCAACACTGACTCAGGATACAGCATTCATAGAAGGAGAATTTTTGTCACTTTTCCCAAGCTAAGATGCTAGGCTAACAGTTGGATTCAAACGATGGGATGAGCTGAATTTAACCCTCAAAAAGTACAACTATGGACTTAACTTCTGCTCCAAAAATGTTATGAAAAGTTAAAGACTAACACAGGACCTCCCGGATCCGATCCCTGTACCCTGAACCGTAAAACTTGTGTTTTTACTGTAGCCAACTGGTGGCTTTACTTTCGAAGCATCCATGCTAGCCTCATGCAGTGTTCTACTGCAATCAGTCACACATAAGACAATAATATTACTACTAACACAAATTTTAAACATCCCCAATAAGCAGTGGCTTTAGTGATAAAAACACACATAAGACACATGATAGATGCAGCAGGCTAAGCTATAAGACACCAGTAAAAAAAAAAACAACTATTCTACTAAATTCCACTCGCTTTCCAAGTCTGTCGAAAACCTAGACCCTCTAGCCAACATTTCAACTGAATTGTTCTGTATTTCCTGAAGAAGGAACATCTTTTTCTGTTATAATATTACAGGTGACTCTCTGTAGGATCTTTGCAACCTGTCCGATCATTTGAGAGAGCGACGAACGATATGTAAACAATATGCATGAAGTTATGAGTAGAGATTGCCATTGGTCTGCTAACAGCTGCCAAAGTTAGCAAAAATGTTGTTTTGCCAAACAAAAATTTAGCTCCGTATTTAGCTGTTAGCAGACTAGCAGAACTGTGTCCACCACTGGCAGGCACAGACTGGTTCAGCGTAGGAAACAAGAATTACAGGTTACCAAAGAGTGTAAGTATGATTTAGTGTGCGTGAGTGCTTGTGTGAAGAGTGAAGCTGATAGAGAATGCAGGCTATTTAAAAAAAGGGGGGAGGGTGTCTTGGAGAGCAGGTCCTTTCATCAAAGCCCTTTTAAAATAATTGTCTGGCAGAGTAAAATAACATTGTAGCCTCAGAGTGCAGAGGGGCAACACTAAAGACATCAAACTTTAAGAAGAAATAAAAAACAAAGGACATAAAAAAGATGGAAAAGGGAAACATGCTAAGAAGGTGGTATAATTTGAGAGTTTTTAGGTTTGGATCTACATAATCCAAAACAATGTTTTCAATG